GCATATTTGAATAGGCCTGTACCTGACCCAGACAGCAAATTTCACAGAATCACAGAGTCACAGAATGGTTGAAGTTGGAACCTCTGCAGACCATCTAGACCAACCTCCCCCCCCTCAAGTAGGGTCACCTAAAAGGGAAATCGCATTTCTTCCATTCCACCCCACCCCATTCAAAGCAGCACTGTTTCCATGTAAACAACTTGAAATAATCTGGCAGAGTTTATGTTTCTGCACTGAGCCAACAGCCCAGCTCAGTGAAGTACATCATGCCCATGCTGAACGAAACAGAAAATTGCTGTGGCTCAACACATTTGAAAAACCCTTGACAGCTGTGATTTTTTCCCTGCTCTGAGCATGAGTCCATTTTCTGTGCCGTTTTATTCTTTGCCCTCCCCATTGAGTCAGCCATAAGGAATGCTCACATAGATTAATGGTATTTTCATGGGAAAAAAACAAAGGAAATAATAGAATTTGGGAAATAGGAAATAGTATTGGGAAGAACAGGGCATTTTAACAAGTTCCCCACTTTATATCAAATTTTCTACAAAGCACCTATTATCTGCCAAAGGTCTTTATTCACTTTGAATGTTATCCTCATCTGAGTTACATATCCTACAACATTTTGTATTCCATACTGCCCCCACCGGCAAAGCAATTCAATTCCCGAGCTGTTACCTCAGCTAGTAGCATACGACCATTATCTTCACCTCAAAAGATCTAACTGGCTCAGACTGAACTATATCTCCCTTTAAGGCAAGTCAATCACAGTTCTAGATCTAATCACTGGAACCACTATTCTAAACTTTATGGAAAACTTCGTTATAGTTAAGGGCACATCATCATTCGTTTGATCTTGAAGTGAAGATTCTTAAGCAAACTTAAATATTAAGGACACTTAGGCACAAATAAGGTGTCCCCACTAGTTTTTCTGCCCTTTTCATTCAAAGAAGACAGTCAAGTACCTTATCATCTTTGTAATATACAATATAAGCAGTTGTTCCAGGCTCATATTCTAATTGCACTCTACTGTATGGTATTTTTCATTGTACTAAGCCCATTAAGATCATGATTTAACCAATATACATTCCAAAGGGAACAATGTGCATTTTTACTAGACTCTTGACAGAAAGCCCTTGATCACTCCTCCATCTGCCGAATCCTCTCTCCCTGCTCGACTGCTCACCACTGATGCAAGTGCACATGCAGAAAACCAAGTGAGATATTGAAGGCACAACAGGCCTATACGTCAATGTTAGCTGGTATCTTAACTCTCAATTTCACTGTTCCTGTGAAAGGCCCATGAACAAATGAGTTTAGTAACTGAAAGAAAAAAGGAAAAGTGTTAAAATCCTGTTTAACACATTGGTTTGTTCAAACGGACAGTAGAAAAGCGCTGATTATCTCTTGTGAGAAATGAAAATGACAGGTATGATTAGGTATGGAATTTGTGTTTCTTTAAATATAAGGATTAAGAATAAAAGAGATTCTCCCTCTCTCCTCATGGCTGTTGTGCCATTAGCAGCCAGATAATGTAGTTTTGTCCTGTGCTAAAGTTTCAAATATTAATGGTTTCTCTCAAAGTCATGGGAAATAGTCCAGAAATACTGTCTACTGTCTGTTCTCTCCATTACAGGGCCACAAATGTTCTTTAAAATTGGCACATGATTATACTTATTTCCCTGTATTTCTCAAGCTACTAATTTTCCAGGCTGTGCTGTCAAAATTCCAAACACCTACCCAATTACTTAATAAAAATTATACACAAGCTTTATGTACTTTCCTATTTCAGAACAGCATTGGATATAGTGCTAAATATCCAATCCAGCTTCACTTTGTATTGAATTTAAATACAACTATCACTCAATCTATTTTGAAATACATTATAATATCAGGAAGTAGCACTGATCAAGATGAGAGGTGATTTCTAACTTAATCCTGATGATACTTTGTCACTAACTTTTGCAATGATACACTGACTTTAGTTAATGCAGTTCTCCTGTTCCTTTGCTTGCAGTCATGCCTTGTATTGGTTTGATTAGACCTACTTTAATGGTTGGTTGATGATAAAAGAAAAAAAAAACATTGATTATGTGTGGTCTGCTTCTCATTTCCAGTCAAGCATTCTGCCTCAAGACATCAATAATTCCATTAATTAGGTGAACTAAACATGCTGACAAGCATTCAAGCTAGTCAGGTTCTGACTTAATAGTCCAAGTGCTCTGGATTCATTCTCTGTACTCAATCAAAATTTGGTTATTCATTTCAATGAAAGCCGAATCAAAAACTATTGGTCTTTCTCATACTTGATTACGTTCTCAAGAATATATCCAATATAATTTCCTCCTACTTTTAGAGGCTGTTATGCTTCACAAGGAAAGACATCAATTATGTATTCTAGATGTTAAAAAGCCAATTGCATAAACAAATTCCCTCTTCCCCTAACAAGGAAATCTAAATAATAAGAATAAAAGATAACTAGCTAACATAATGTTTTCAAAAAGTTCTGCATGTAAGTTAACCTAATGACAATTTACACTGAGTCTTCTGTAAAGCATGAACTTGTTGAATAACATATCAACTGTACTAAATACTTGGTATCCAGTGATAAAACATCTGTTCCTTTCAAGCTTTCTTGAAAAAACGGAAGCGAAATATTCAGGACATTTTGTTCCTGTGCTCGACACTGCTCAGCACTTGCTTTAGCTTGCATTCCTTCCCTGCAACCAGTATCTTTCTCGTCTGTCCTATCAGATTGCTAAGATGCATTCTCCAATCTTTTCAGCAGATTAGGGCTATAGAACATTTCTGAATCCTGCTCTTAGTCCTGAGCTTAAACTCAATGGAACAGGCTCCCGAGCTCTGTTGTAACTGGAAATGGGCATTTTTTTCCCTGACAGCATTGTAATCTGTAAATCTACTGCATATTGCACAAGGCAGTAGGACGTTAAATGTGGCAGAATCCGCACGAGCACTTGACGTTCCTCTCGGGGAGTGGCAAGAGTGGGGCTACTCCCTGCAGGTGGACAGGCCAGAAGCCATGGGCAAGCATGGCCCAGGCAGGGCAGGGGCCTTCCCAGGCAGGGCCAGCATAGTAACAGGCTCTGTGGACAATCCAGGGGCCATCAGACAGGTGTGGGGTCCATCCAGAAAGTCCAGTCAGAAACAGCAGGAGACAGGAGTAGAGACAAGGCTGCCCATAACACAGGTTTCAAGGTCCATCGAGGAGACAGGGCTGGGGAGATAGGACTGCCTGCAACGTAGCTCAAACAACGGCTCCACAGGGAAAATACATTCAGAAATGAATGGAAGAAATTAAATACTAACTCTATTAGCAGAGTTAGGAGCAATTAGCAGCTACTAGAGAATTAACATTTCTACATGCAAGAATGACATAGTTGTTATCAATTCCACTTAATCAGTATAAATACACTACATTGCGCATAACCTACCCTATTTGTGCACAATATGGAACGTAAAAAGAAAAATAGCCATCAAAGACACAGTACAAGTAAGTTTATGAGTAGCATTCAAAGGCAAGAGTAAGTTTTAAAGATTGGCACATATTTTGATGCAAGGCAAAGATACGTTATCTTTGTTTGAATTGTGCGTTTACACTATGCTTAATCTGACCTCTGACGTGTAAGTGTAGCAAGTCCCTTTGCAGACATTTTGGATGACTCAAATCATGATTACAGTAATAATTTCTCATGGAACTTAAGAAATTACTGGACACCTGTATTCATTATATGCCAAGTGCTATCATGCTGTGTTTGAGATCTTTCTCAGAAATTGTTTCAAAGCACTGTTTATTCCCATTCTGAATGCACTGGTCAAGGAAATGTTCATGATTGTTTGGATTTTATTTCTGATGCATACATGGTTGGGAGTCAAGATCACAGAAACGTGAAGTACCAAAAAAACACCCACGCTACTTAAGATGGTGGAAAAGATGGCCATATGTGGAATGATTTGGTCACTTCCGCTTCTTAATATTGCAGCAGCCAGAGTGAAAAATTTTCAGCTATGCCGCTCTAAAATCCCATGCTGCCTTCCTTCACAGAATTATGGGGAAAGGAATACTTGTGGGAGGGGAGTATTTTCTGAAGTCTAGTTATCCAAAAATACTTTCCTCCTCACCCTCTCCCTGCTAGTAGAAGATGGAAAACAAAAGGGCTTTTACAAAACCACTGTAGCTACTTTTGGTCCTCCTTCCACTGCTCCTCTTGGTCTTGATCACAGCCACGTAGAAATCAAAACTTCTAGAACAACAGTTCGGTGTATGAGATCAGACAACTGCTTAGCAAGGTCTAGTATTTCATCAGCTTTTAGTCGTATGAAAGAGAAGTTCCACATAACTTCTCATACCCCTGGCATCTCAGTAGCAGCTAGGAGTTGGCTCACAGTCCATCTAAACATGTGCATGTTTTGGTAACACAGAGAGCACAGCACTCCTGTGTTATGCTCCTCAGACTGTCCTTGTGGACAGCAACAACCAGAGGATGACCACCTCACGCTTAGTCTTCAGAGAAGTGAATCCTAGAAATTGTGATGGATGCTTTGGACCTTAATGGGGCAGTCATGAAATCCAGGAGCAGAAAGGGATTTTTTCATTCCTGTGTCCCTTCCCCCAGCCTTCACACAATGTAGCAGCCAAAGCCATGGATTCCTACTTTTGTGGGCTTCGGTTTTCCTCTTGGTTGTAAAGATATATTTTAATTGCCAGCAGTGAGCCTAGATTGGGCCTGGATTCTCAGAAAAGACTCCTATTATAAACATACAGTTTTAGAAGTTTGCTTTCTGTTCTGCTGCAGCAGAATTCGAAGAGCTGCTGAAGGGGTCAAAGACTCCTAAACCCAAAAATCTTATTTCTTACTTACAAATAAAGAGATTTGCAGTGGCCATATTAACATTGGTTTTATTGCTATCTGACATTTTGTAATACATTGTTACCATTCCAGTCTTTAATATGAAGACTAAAAAAATAAACCATAGATCTAAAGTACATAGTATTAGTTTAATCCATAATCAATATAGTAACAGACTCAAAGTATGCTACATAGGCACTTTACAAATAAGAAAAAGTAATTTAAATCCATGTTTCAAGGAAATTTAACATTAAATTCCAAAGGTTACTTCTAACAAACGCAACTGCCCACAAAGCTGCTAGTTCAACTGTTTTCAAACAAATGCTCACTGACAGACTGTGTGTATTGATGTATTTATATATATATCTTTCAAAAAAGTAATGCTCTCTTGTGCTTACTAAGAAGTTACAAACAATATATTCTTCATTTGAAAAATGTGTGCAATACTTAGATGCAAAAAGTACTCATTTTTCTTAATGAACAAGCATAAACAACTACATACACTATATACAGGGCATTAAAAAGTGAATAATGCTGCTTAAATTTTAAATCTGACACATACGCATGGTGTACATATAGGACACACACACACTAAAGATGTTGTGGATATTCCCATGATAGTCCAAACCTAAGTCCTTGCACAAATGTCCCTGCTACTGTGGAAGTGCACTCCACTGGACTTTCAAACTGAAGCAGAATTTATTTCTAAATGTAGTTCCATTCTAGCAATACAGAATTTCTAGCATGGAGATGTTATTTCTGGAGGAAAACATAAGAAATGAGTACGTGATTGGTCTCTAGACAATCTGAAATTTCTCATTGGTACTAATATCTGCATGAATATGCTTGCAGGATATTCATTTATAATCATGTAACAAGAAAACAGTCACCTGTTTTAGCAGGAAAAAGGCAATACTCCTAATAATGCATTTTTTTTTAGAAACACTTCTCAGTGGATATATACAATATATAAAAAAATCAATTGTCAGCATATAAAAATATAAGTGAGTTCAGTATCTTTTATATATCAAAACCTAGTCATCAAAAATCCAGGTATCCTGAGACAGGTATGCACTGTGCCTCTAATTTACCAATGCCAGTGTACTGCAGGAGTACAATTAGAAAAGCATTACCCGCGTTTCTCAACAAGCACAAAAAAACCTAAGGCAATGCATTAGCTTAAGAAATTCTCCTGTTTCCATCATGTTAAACAATAATGGTGCAAAATATGCATAAAATGCTGAAAGACAAAACCATGTAGTAGCTGCAAAGTAAAGAGCAAGAAACAATATTGTATATATACTACAGATACTAATTTTACAAATGTAAATGAAAACAAATGAAAGATACTTTCCTGTTTTGAACATCATGCTTAATCACAATGTGTACACTCACATTCAAGCAATTGTCTTAAATATATATGCTACATTTGACAATGAATTAATGAAATAAATCACTGCTGCTTGCTATGAATTTCTCCACGTAAAAGTACAGCAATAAAACCGGTTCATTTTTTTTCCACACTCAGAATAGGGGATTCTAATAAATGAAATGAAATATGATTACTATAAATCCTAATTTGATTGTTTTGCTATAAAACAGTAGAATAGCAGTTCTGACTACTATTGTCCGCATTAAAAAAAATAAATAAAACAGACGCATTTGCTAAAACCACTGGGCTAAGCTATCTAAAAAGACATCGGAAGATTGTAACTTTCTCAGTGGACATATAATTGATGTTGGTTCAGCTGAAAGCAGAAATATTTACTTTAAAGTAGATTCCTAAACACAAATGTGCTCAACAATTAGAAATCGGCACATACACCTTTTTTGTATTCATTTACATTTACAACCTGCAAGGACGATAAGTGTTACAAAATACTTAATTTGAGGAGCTACACTGAACCAATGCTCATTTCATAGCAGAAAGACTGTTTAACATCCTATTATTTATAGAAGATGGTTACAAAGACAGTCCCAACATCATCAGCTCTACCTTAAAAACAATAAGCAAGTTCTTTCCAAACATGAACACTATCGCATGACTTAACTGTTACTTGCCTCTTAACCCTGCCCTCCTACCTGAATCTCCCATAACACACTCTACCACTGAATTATAGTAGTCAGTATTTGGTAAGGTATGTCTATAGATGCTTGAATTTTATTCCCAAGAATATTAAACTTGACTTGAATTAAGACCTAGAAATTACATACAGAATGCTTTCCCTAAACTGGTATAAAAAAACAGATTGCATAATCTATTGCAGTAGAAGTAAAGGGTTCACAAGCTATGGGTGTTACAGTTCTTGTAAACCATCACTCTTGGTCATCTCTTCTCATTGTCTGCAAGCTTAAAAAATCTATGAGAGGGTAAACATACTGGGATGAGAACTAACTTTTATCCTGCATGCATGCATTGCATAAGACATAAATACACCTGTACATTTACCAAGCAAGATAAATAGCTTTAGTCACCAACACTGATAACTGATCATTTAAGAACAGGCTTCTTCAACGTCCATCTAATTTTGTTAGAACCCAGAGGTGTTAGAATGTGCAATGTGTTCTGAAAACAGAGGGCCAAGAAAAGCAGTTTGAAAAATTCCTTAGTTTCAAGTGAGCACTAGCTTTACAGAAATTTTGAAAAATCAGGCACCCACTTTCCATAGAGAAACAATAGGAGATTTATATATAATTTCCTTTGAGTATTTTGAAAACCCTACCTCTATATCCCACCTGAAATCCCAGGAAACTAGGGCTTAAGTTTATCAGACCCCTCTGAATATACCAGCCTAATTAGGTAAATTATTTTGCAGCATAGGTCCTAGCCAGTGCTTTAGATAATGAACCTCACAGTGCTCAGTAACTTTTTGACTACTTCAAGATTAAGGAGAGCTTGAGAACCCAGTCCATTCTATCTTCCCCGTAAGAAAACAACAAAAATTAGATTAAAAAAAAAAGTCAAGATTTTTGATGCACGCTCAAGTGAAACAACAGCTGAAGAATTTGTTCTAGTGACTGTGGCTCATAACTATTTGTCCCTCAGTATTTAAAAGTTTCTGTTACCCTATGCTTTCAAACACAAAACAAAGTCTTAAAATTACTGAGTTATAGAAGAGAGCATTTTGGCATACTTACACTCCTGCCATTTTTCAATGTGATAAAAAAGTGATCAACAGATTAGTTGCAATAACGTGTGTGCATGCAACAAAAGATTTTGTCCTGTAGGTTATATTATACAGAAATAGCAAGACTGAACTCCCAGCAGAGGCTGACCCCACCATTCAGAACACACCGCCCTTCCACAGGCTTTGCAGCGCCGTCCTTGGCAGGAGACGATTACGCCTTCTATGTATTTCTGATTTCTGAACAAGCAATAACGGAAACATTTTTGGCACTTCCTCCTGGAGCAGGAATTATCTTAACCAGTACTGCCTCTCTGAATAAAACACATCCAGAAGTATGAAATACTCTGACTAGAACAGCAACTATATAAATTGTGATTCATTCTTTTCTTTTGTACAAGCATTAGGTCATCTTAGACAAAAGTAAGTTTCTACAGAGTAAAACTTTTTTCTTTTTTTAACCAAAAAAATTTAAGTCCCATACTTTCCCATAACTATTCAAGAGTATAAACTTCAAAGCACAGAGGAGAAATTGTGACTTGTGTTCATTATTGCATGTTTTTGTCACAGTTTAAGGAAAACATTCTATATTCAAGGTCAGATCACTAATAAATGGATATGGCTATATAACTATATACATACTGAAGATAGAATATGTGCAGACATATATATCTGTAGATATATAAAAATATTTACTTTCTTAGCAAAGTTAAAGTCTGTGTGAAAACTTACAAATACTGAAAACTGTAGGAGTCCTAATTCCTCCTTTGGAGAAACATATCAAGTCCCCTATACATCCTATGTAAAGAGCACTCTTTGCAAGAGTAAGGCTTGTTCTGAATTCCCATCTATTTCTTTGTGGATTAATCCATTTGTTGAAAATTTTATAAATAATTAGGTAATATGCAAAAAATTATGCTGTGAGGTTTGGTTGCTACAACATGACTATAGGCTGCTACTGCATAGAAAATAAATTTTATTCAGACAGTACATGTCTAACACAATGTGTAGCTACTACTACAACTAGAACTATTTCAGAATTTTGCTTTATTGTGTTCTGACACGAAATGTCATTTGGGGGCATTTTCTCTGAAAATACTTTGGCCAAAAAAGCAGTTAGATACAGATGTATTTTCCTGCGCCCTCTAAATAGGAGAATCTTCAAAATAAATCTGTAACAGTTATGAAGTTACAACTTCACAAGAAAGAACTGAAAAGCTATAAAAAACATTGACAAAATAATGTAAATGGTGCCGTAAAACATTAAAACACCAAAACTTACACAAATATTTCCAGTTAAATGTAACAACATCAACTCCTCCTCATCTTGTGTAGTTTTGCAAACATAATACTGTATAAGAATATGCACAATTTTGAATTCAAGACTCCGACATCTAATGGCTGTTTTACATTACTGTGCCTCTGTATTTCAGAGTTATTCAGTTTAATTATGGAAGAAGATCAGACTTAAGATCCTTCTCTTCTTCAATATAATGACAACTGGAAAAGGGTAATACTGCAACTCAGATGCTACATTCACATTCCTTCAAAATAGGTATGGCAATGGGCTGCTTTAGACATAGCTGTGTTTATATGAGCATACATTCATAGAAGCAGTCAGTTTGTAGTCATTAGGCACAATTCTGAGATGAGTTTTTATCCTTAAACCTCACTTACATTATATCCTTGAAACTTTAATTTCATTGTTATGAAAAGGTGAGAAATTATGATGCTGACAGGAAAAAAAAAAGGATTATCAGTGCAAAGGGCCCCATATGAAGTGCATGCCCGTTATCTAGGCTTTTATTCCTTTCACAAGAACATATCCTGCTAGTTCAGAGAGAATGACTTCACTTGGACACAAGAGATTTGTTTTCACGCTGCTGATTGTGTCTATTTCATGTGGCTGAACAGGACGCATCTAGTGAACCTGATTCCAGTGTAAAATTCCCAAGGAAAATTCCTGTTTTACTAACATAAGGCTGGAGTGCACAGATTCCAGAAATGCTTTTTTGGAAGTCATATTCCAATGTCAATAGAGATTATTTAGGATATTTCTTTCTTTATCCTGAGTAAAGGGCCTTTATTTTTCAAAGCCCCAGGCACACACTGCTACAATGCAGTTAGATTTTATAGTCCTGGTGTCCTAAAAGCCAGTATTTCATTTTTTTCTGCAGTAGCTCTCCTCATTCTTCTCCAACAGGTGGTGGTGGCTGGCATAGCTTGTATAATCTGAAAAAAACAAAAAACAGAGTAATCATTATTCTGAGAACTTGCTCATTATTAAAATAATTAAATTTAGGCAACACAAACTAAATCTGAGTCTTCTTCCATTGCAAAAGAAAAGTAATTACATTGAGTTCAGTTTAATAACATTGGTATAAAACCAGTAAAATCTTGCTTATAAACATGACTATTTGTTTACATTGATAGTGGTATTATTAAAATACACATCTAGAAGTAATATTAAAAAAAAAAACAGTAAAACTACATTCCTGTTTAGTCAAGCTTTTATACTCCTGCACTGAAGAACCCCTTCTGAAGGCAGCTAGGTCTCCACTAACTCAATAATCAACTGTTGCTCTGAATCTCAGTACTGGAAAAGTTCCTTGGTGACTGCTGCCTCGGTTTTGTTTTTGTGTTAGCAGACAGTCAGCCCTCAGTTTAACACACTTTTCAGTAAAACTGATGCTCTTTGGTCTTGATCTCCAAGAACCCAAAACAGATGTAAGACACATGACATGTCAGCCTGGAGATTTTGAACCCCGCTCCCCTCACAGTATCCAAGTGCATGAAGTCAAGATCAATAAAGTTTGGTTCCAAGGACTATAACAGTAAAGACTGAAATAGTTAGCCACACCTCCGTTTATGAAGGCTTTCAAATTTCTGCTGAATCCCTTGGCATGGACTTGGTCACTAAGAAGTGACTGGAAAGTTACCCTAATGTCAGGAATACGGAAAATAAAGGGCAATCATTCTGATCTAAGACCCATTTAAAAAGGCCTCCCTGTTCCCTGAGAATACCCAGCATCTCCCCTAGAACCACAGCAGTTTGAAACAGCAATAGACATGATCTCATTTGGAGATTATGAATTTTCCTCAGGGAATGCGCATCACTGAAGCAATAATAAAGAAGAGAGACTAAGGAGTTGGGTGTGGCAGAGAGAAAAAGCATTACAATCCAAAATGAAAAGACAGTAATACAGTAAATTCATTAATACTGAATATCAAGAGTCTACGATACTGAAATATGGAAGCAAAAAAATAACAACAGGTTTGGCAGGTCTGGCTACAGGCAGGATGGTGACTCTTTCACTGTTTTGGAGGCTACGAGTGTTTGAGACACTCCAGATATCTGAGTCTTCTAGGTATATTTTGCAAACTTGCTGCCCAAACATCACATTAATTTATATGACTGTACTTTAATTAGGCATTTCAAAATCATACTACAAGTCGACATGGAAAACAAATATCTGGCCATGTGACAGGGCTCCATGAACAATTCAAGATCAGTCAGCTGCTGCTTTCTTGGCAAGTTGCTCGGCCAATGAAGTTCTTTGAGGCGCTGTCTGTATGGTAGCCCTCGTGCACTCTGAAAGCCTCTTCACACCATGTCAAGTATTCACACCTTCTGAATACTGAAAACCTCTTCACACCATGATGTTTCATGACATAAAAAGTACTCTGTGACTATGCAAGATCAGGGAAGGATACGTGCTGTTCTCTTTCAGCTCCTTTATGAGTCAAAGACCACGAGACACTGACAACACACATTTGCAGGGGAGCTACATAACTTCTCTGAGTCTCATTGTAGGCAGTATTGTTTTTGGATGGTAAGAATGAGGAGCATTCGTTTTGCCAGTGGAACAGCAACAGCAATTCTACTTTCAAATCTTCACCATAATGTGTTCTGAGGATCACTTCCACACTGTCATCTGGTCATTTGACCATTTAAGGTCAAGTAAGCACTGGTGCAGAAGCCAGCGTATTTGTTAGGAGACATGCAGAAGCCAAAAGACATAGATCTCATATTTGCCTATCAATGACAGAATGAGATGGCCTGACATTTATACAGCTGGGTATGCAGAGTGAAATAAACCAGGGCTTACTCTGAATTATTTAATTCTGTTGGTGTAATAAATCAATAATACTCATAGCAGGCAGAAGACACATAAATGAGATTCTGACAGTCTGTCTAAGTCAGTAATCACAGTGGGGTTTATTATTGGTGAAGGTTTAGCAAAATCTTTCTTCAATCGAACAATACACAGAAAAGTTCAGCCTGAAGTACCAAGGTTTGGGAAATGTTCAAGGTAACCTTTAAGGTTAACTTGAACCTTTCAAGGTAACCTTTAAGGTTATAGTCTAGAGAGCAAGTGAGGTAGGGGCACTTTAAATCAAATTTACAAGAAGGCTGCAGAAATCCCTAAGAAGCTATATACTGAAGACAGCAGAGGACAGCCACAGCCTGTTCTGGCTCAATATGTACGTAAAAGGTGTTTGAGATGATAGAAATCAGAGGAGAAAAGACAGTGAACAGTGGCAACTGCAGAGAACAGAGAATGGCTGCAAAGCGCACTTATATGGAACTGTCTTTAATGGTATCAAATGGCACCAAAGAATTGATAACCCACAGTATCCTTTACCCATATACTGAAAATATCACTCATGTAGATGAGTATTCTGACTTACATGGCTTATTATCTCTAACGGTGTGCCAAATACCCCAAACTCAGAGGTCAATGAGATATTCCTGGGACATTGTTATTGCTACTGACTTGTAAGCATGTTGGATGCATTTCTGTCTCATTCTGTCTATGTTGTAAAGTCATCTGAGAATTTTCCTTTAGCACTTCACTCCTAAGTTATGGGAGTTTCAACTACAGAGAAGTGACCTTCTGCTAATTGATGTCATATATTTCAGATTTTTCCAGCTCAACAAAGCTAATAAACATCCCCTGGCCAATTATTGTAATTTTTTCCTTTTAAGAACTTGGACTTTTCCTTTATGACAAAAGCTTTGAATTCAGATACCTACTATTGCATTTAGAGATGGGAAAAGAATTAGACTTGGTTTGCCACAAACCTTTGGTTATCTCCAGAATTATGTCACAATGGAGCCTAATTAAGGCCAGAATTGTACTGCTCACATTATGAAAGTTCATGCAGCTTTTCCTGTATAAAATACTATTTTGGGGCTTTAGTTCCCACAGTGCAAGACAGATGGGCCTGGGTTGCCTTTAAAATAATCATTAGTGTGAGAAGAGATACCCTCATCTGCTAGAAAGGAGAATGACTTTATTGGTGATGGGTTTGCTGACTGGCTCAGCTTCTGATACCAGCTTAAAATAGGGCCGCCTTCTGTTACTGGAGCTGTGAAAGAGAACTGCTCCATAGAGGTGTTCTGTGGGGATTCCCATTAAGGCATAAGATTCCTTGACGGTAAACGGAAGGATATTGACGTGTTTGAGGTTATCCAGCCAAATGTCTCTTGCTCCAATAGAACATACCTATTCAACATCAAAGAAGAGTAATGGAGATGAGCTTTCATAACAGAGATGAGCTTTCAAAAATGACATTTTATCATCATCATATCCATGTCTCCTCAAGTAGCAATGGTATCTTCCACATTGAAAACAACTGCGTAAGATACAGAATCCTCTAGATGTGTATGATACAGAAACCTTCCCAATCCTTTTCCCAGTCTCAGAATCAGTACTTTTATTGGATTGTATTTCATGTACATCGTAGATTTTTGATAGCCCAGAGTTCTGTTTTTGGGAGAAGCAGTGTTGCAAATGCTTTTTCAGGACTTGCCTTACTCCTTGAAACTATTTCTGAACTTTGTTTAATGGCACAAACCAACAGCAAGTGCTGATATTCCTGCCAGGGTTGTTGGCTCAGCAGAGAACACTAGCTGTGCTCTTTTCACTTATTCATACTAATGATCACCGCCAAAGTTTTTGGGTGCTGGTGTGGCTGATATCTTGGTCTGTCTTCTTCTGTCTGCCTGAGAGTAGGACACTACTCTTGTTGGGAGTAAACCACTGTATCACTGTTTTTTTTCCTAGGCCTACCTAATCACAGTAGCCCAAGCCCAAGCCCACCTGCACTGCTGCAATATTTTTCCTTTTCCCAATATGAATCATCAACATGGATCATCTATCTTCTTTGAGGGTTAAAAAAAATCAGCTATATCTACCTATATGGAATAAGTCTGTAAACACGTATGTAGGGCTTGAATTCTGATGGTTAGATTAGACATTATACACAGTAAGAGGTATGAAACACAAATCTTTCAATAGAGAAAGATGTGTGCTTGTTAAAAGTCCTATCAATAAAATGGAAACTGTCCCCTTAGAAGGCAGTTAAAATGCAAAGAAGTATTTAGAGAAGACTACTAAGTCAGTCACTTGCCAGATTCTGTCTCACTGCTATAACTGGTGGAGGGAATTGAAGGAGTCCGTCTACCTTGTCCTTTATGGGGGCACAAGATGCACATATGTCCCAACAAATGCTGCTACACAAATTTACTCATATCTTGTACACTTAAGGTGTACTCCTTTTCTAGAATCAGATCCAGCACAATGCACAGTGATTTGTTATGAACAGACTATGACCAATAACCTGATTCCCTGTGGAAAGAAACTAGGACACTTGAAAAAAGGGGAGAAAACTGCAGAAGAAAAGATTCAAACAGAATTACTGGTCAGAATCGAGAAAGTAGTCTTTCTTGTGAGGCTATGAACTACATATATGTTCATACACATGCATCCCTCAATCAGAGATTACTAATACACTGTTTCCTTGCTGAAATTTAAACAATACAATGGGTCTGTTATGTATGACCACACATCTGTTAGTACCTTCAGTGTGCTATTATTAGTCACTAAGAAACATTATATTTCAAATTGTTAGAAAAAGTTTAAATGATAGCTGGACTAATACAGCACCTTAAGATGAAACTAAGAACACTGGAGTTATTATTTTCATTTTTAAGTATTATAACACTTTACAGGTGCCTGTAATCCATCACAGCATTCAAAAAGCTGCATAAATATAGAATATTCATATTTTTCAATCTAATAGATGCTTCAGGACAAGACAGACTATATCATCTCCAAAGGCAACTAGAGCATGATTTCCCGGCGATACTGCAGTACAGTATTTCAAAATAGGGTTTTGGATTTAGGTATGAATATTTGCCTCAAAACACTGAAGATCACAAGTGATGAAGGACTTAACAATTTTTGAATAGTGAAATCTAGTTCATGTTAATTATGAAAACACTGGATTAAGTTTTGAAGTGCTGCACAGCTGTAACTTCTGCAAAAAATCACTTTAACTAAAATTGTATGGCTAAGAACCTAATTGATCCTATGCATATTAAAAGCCAGATCTCACCATTACTGAAATACAATGCCATTAATGTTAGTTGCTAGCTTGTGAGCCTCTAGGATACAATTGGGCACTAACTAAACAAATCACGGTCTAGAGTACAAACAGTTACCTTGGGACGGACTGCGGCGTTCGATCCCTCACTCCTAAATTCTTGGCTGTATTTTGTACTCTTGCTCCCTGTAAAAGACAAATAACAACTTTGCTTCACATTTTCCAACACAAGTTTTCTTCCTGACCTTCTAGATCAATGTAATTATGGCATACAATTAATCAACACATATGCTTCATGTCCCTGAACAACTCTCCTCTTTTAAGGTGATGGACAAGTTAAAATAATACATTGATTTTCAGCCTAAAGTGATATGCAGAAGAGAGACGCAATCCTTTCACTTGTCATTATATAAATATGCACATAGGCTGAGTGAGGTATTAGATTTCTGTGAAACATACTCTACATCTGAAACAGAGCTGCAGCGCCAGCAGCACACAATGTAAAAATATGGTACAACCATTGATTCGGAGTATTAGTAGAGTAAGACTAGAAGTTGCATTTAGCTCAGATCTGGTACCCAGGTAATTGATAAGTGTTAGTTCACTTTAATGGGCTCAAATAAAAGATGAAAAAGGCTGTTTCGTGACACACAGGTAAGTACTCATAGTTAATGTAAGAGATGCACTACAAAATGTATTATTTCATTAAATTATTTTTAGGAAAAAAATAGTGACATTGATAGAGAAAACAACTAGAATACCTACAAAACTGAAGAAAGAATATAAAAGTGACTTTACTAGTTTTACATCGACCTCATTAGTCTGTTTCTGACAGCGGCCAAAGGCATGTGACTACAGAACAGGGCAATCATATGACGTTTCCCCAAGAATTCTCCCAAAATTCAATCGTTAGTGACTCAACACCTCCTTACTTCAGCAGTAAGTACCTATTTAATCATCTTTAGTGATTCTCTTCTCTGATCTATGATTCTCTTCTATGATCCTGTCTCATCTTGAACCTATGAATAATTTAATATCCACAAAATCCTTGTGGAAGGAGATCCACAGCTTAGATATAATCTTAGCTTGTCGTGTAAAGAACTACCTATTTTTGCTTGTTTTGCCAGTTACATCTGATGCATACCTGTAGTTCTGCATGGGAAAAGATAATGGTCAGTCTTTAACCACCATATCCATGCCACATACAGTTTTCTTAGACTTCTGCCATGTCCTCCTTCACTCAACAAGCTGAACAGTCCTAGATGTCCCTGAACATAAACTGTCCCTTGTCCCTGAACATAAACTGTTCCCAGCCTTTGATCATTGTTTCTCAGAATCACAAAATGGTTGAGGTTGGAAGGGCTATCTTAATGGCCCTTCACAGAACTCACTCCAATATGTCCACGTCTCTCCTGTACTGGGGAGCCCAGCACTGTAGCCAGCACTCCAGATGTGGCTAACCCAGTGCTGAGTAGAGGTTGAGTTCCTCAACCTCCTGGCAACTCTCTTCCTAATACAGCCCACGGTGCTGTTGGCCTTCCTTGCCCCAAGGACACATTGCTGGCTCATGGTCAACTTGTCCACTAGGACTCCCAGGTCCTTCTGACCCTCTCCAAACCTTTTTCATTACACTATATCCTTGTGGAAAGACAAGGATTACAATGCTACACAGTTCAAGATGAAGGCTTATCACAGCATAATTTTTTAATAGCTACTGAGAATTGAGTGGATGTTTTCTATCATATCCCAAGGTCTTGTTCAGAAGATGTAACGATCAGCTCAGTAAATCATTTTGAATCTGAATTTAGGGTTATTTTTTCCCCCATGTGCATCACTTAACATTTATCTAGACTGATTTTCATCTTCTTTTTATTGCTCAATCATGAAGTCTTGTCAGGTCCTTCTGTAAGTCTTCATAGTAAGTCCTCATCTTTAATAAAGACTTGGAAAGAGTTCAGAGGAGAATAAGGAGAATGATCAGATCATAAGAATATACAACCAACAAAGAAAGGTCAAAAGAACTGCTGTTGTTGAACATAGATCATGATTTTCCTGATGGCTTATCAGGAAAATGATAATCATCAAATATATAAAAGTTTACTGCTAAAAACGGAGCAAAAAACTAGTCTCTAGTACACAGTGTATAGAACACAGGCTTAAATTTGAAAAAAATAAAAAAATAACCCCCCCCCCAATACCAACAACAACTCAAATTAGGCACCAAGAAAAATATTCTAATGCAAAGGATAATAAAACTCTGGAAAAGACTGCTTGGGAAGCACTGTGTAGGAATCTTCGTTACTGGAGGATTAAGAACAGATAAGAAAAGTGTCTGTCAGGAATAACGTATAGCTGATCCAGTCTTGGTTAAAAGGTTGGACATGTTGAGTCCAGACCCTCATCAACTTCAGCGTCCTTTCCTCAGTGCCATTTTCTAAAATTTTGTGATAATAAAAAATACTATAATAGACTGCTCAGCTTGACATATGATCAGCATAACTGAGAGCCAGTACATAGAGAGTGGACATGGGCAAAACTATCAAAACTAATCATACATAGATATGAACTTCAATGCTGTGACCACTTCTGAGAAGAAAAAACAGCCTATTTTTACTTACATCACTCACTAGACAGATTTATTTTAACATCTTGCTCCCATAATAAATCAAAAGCACTGATGTAAAAAGGAGTCTGGCTTTATACAGCCATGTAATTTATTGTTTAGCAGGAGAACAAATTAAACCTACAAATTGCAATCACTAGATTCTTATTTCTTTTGGAGAAAAGCCCCCAAGAACTACTAACAACTTGCTAGATAATACCTCTTAGTCTCCATTTAGCACCATAACATCATTTCTACTTCAATACACTGTTAATTTATACTTCTCTAATACTATTCCTAAACCTATTATAATGAGAATATTGGCACCATTTGTCTCATGTGGGCATAACAGACGTTAGGTGACTGTCGAATTTTTTTCTCTGTACACCAGTACTGCCAGATCACTCATGAAAGATGCCATCAGATCTAGGGAGGTACCATCATCAATCTGGAATCCAATATATGAACTAGTATTTTCAGTGCCAAGAGAAATAAATGATAGGTATATTTTCAAGTTGCACACTAATTTAAGGGTGGCAAAACCAGTCAACGTAAAGAAAATCAATTCTACTTATGCCTAACTCAGACAGCACAAAATCAACACCATTCTTATGAGAACCATTCCAAATGCAATGCTCTTATTATCTTCATGAAGAGGCATGGAGAAATTATTGATCACTTAAAAGATAACACAGATTCTCTCCCAACCTTTCCTGTTTATCAGCTTTTTAGTTACCTCTCTCCCTCACAACCTTGTGGCCTCTTGTAGCTCCTCTTCTAGGCTTCTATCTACATTTTGGTGCCTCCTGGTGATAGTTCTGTCAGGATGCTCTAAGTAGCGATTTGTAGCTAAAGATGTTTACATGAATAAATATACATGCGTAAATAAGGTTAAAGATGGTTGGAATATTCTGTCAAATTTTTTACTTTAAAACCAATCATCTAGACTGGTTTAGCTGATGAAGAATAGAAACCACTTATCTAAAATTGTCCCAGAGACCCCGGTTCATACCAGCTCTCCTAAATTGCTCTTTTTTCCTTAGTTATTGCAAGATAAGTGCTTGTGGACACCCAGTTATAACTGTCAGGGCATTTACTCAGACAATTGTTCCAACAACATGGCCAGGGCTATTAGGAGTCCTGTTAAGCATTATCACCACCTCATTCAATTTAATGGAGAAAAGCACTTCTCGAGGTCATCCATGCAATCAGGTGTCTCCAATTATTCACTACTGGTGCCCCAAGCTATTCTACTAGAGACAATTCTAGTAGAGACAATTTCCTTGTGTGGAAAGTTAAGAGCTGCTAGGAGATAATGTTGCCGGCTTCCCCAGAATAGCAGATGGAATAGATATACTTTCATTTGCATCTGCCTATGGCTAATTTCTCTTTATTCCCTGTAAAAATTCAGGGTGTATATGGGCTACTGTAAAGCTTTTTCACATTAAGGCAGGAAAAACATACATGTCTTCTCTAAATGTTCTACACCAAACCTAAAAAAGCTTTTAGTTTTTTTAATCCAAGTTTTGTGTGTGTTACTGTCCTGATGGTTAAATCCTACAGATATTAAAATAGTAAATCAGGAAAAGATTTCTAGAAAGTGTCAGTGTTTGCTGAAATCATTCGAAAACATTTAGAATTTAATGGAGGATTATATATCTACTGCAGAACTCCAAGACTGACTTAAAATTACAAGATTGTTACTCTATCAAATCCATCGTGGTTTCCTACAAGAGGAAGAATGTGTGAACAAAGTCTGGCTTGATATATACTAGCAGACTTTTTTGCAATGTCTGTGGGTGGTATTGAAATATCGGTATCTTTAACCGCTATTGATCACTGCTGTTTTACTTCAGAGAATGTAGACCCACTGCAGGCTTCTTTACACATCTCTTTTTGCGCAAGCCTCAGTACAATTTCAGCTGCTTAAGGCCATTAGCAAGTAACTTTTCTTCTAATTTAGTCCTTCATTTTAATTTAATAACTTACTAGAAGATCCAGAAATGCACCAACATATTCTGAAAACTGTCCAGAATCATACATTGAAAATGTGCAGTTTCACAGAACACATCTCTGAAAGCACACATGCACAACTTTATGCCTAGTTTATTTGTGAAATACCCAGATTTGCATGTTGCTAGAACTTGAGTAGAAACATCAACATATAAATGCAAGTTTGTTATTATACAGCAGTAGCTTTGTTTTAATGTCAAGTTAAAGCTGCAATTTCTGAGCACACCTACATGATCTGACTCAAGAACCCTGAGGGTGTTTATTCATACAGAAACTTAATTCATGCACTGAAGGAACTGAAAGTCAGATATGAAAAAGAATGAGACTCATTACTCAGAAGTAACCACATTACGCAGTAACACGTAAATATAATTGATCAAAATCTGTGATGTGAGAATATCTATACTACTGCTTTAATAGACTGAAGGTTTGATCTAGTGCATATGGACTTTATCTAGGGCAAGTTAGAAGTAAAGCGCAGTTGTTCAATCATTTTCATAATTAAACTGTGATTTTTGCATAGGATATGTACTAGAACTTATGGAAATAATAAAATCAGATGCAAATTAGAATCTAGAAAAAGCTAGTCTTGTCTTATCTGTGATTAATTGTTCTACTATTTAACTACCTTTTTTGCTAGTAAACAGCACTTCCTTTAAGGTTGAATTTGTTTGTATTTGACTTCTGTATCCTGTTTCTTGTTATGTTTTTGCCATAAGATTGAAAGTTAGCATAGGCTGGGATATATGTTGCATAAGCACACGGAGCGCTTAAGGCCCCCCACCACGCAACCTCTCTTTGATCAAGCAAACAAGTTGAGCTGTTTAATCTTCACTTCATAAGGCCTGTCTAACAACCTCAGGGTCATTCATGCCCCTCCTTTGAACTCCTTCCAAGACTCTAAACTTATTTTCAAAGCGCTTATCTGATAACAAGATATTCCAGGAGAAGCTGTGCCACTACAGGGTACAGTCTAGTCTCCATTTTGTGATAGTTCCTTTTTTTTTAAATATAACCAGCATTTTTTGTCAGACCTTTGCACTAAGAATTAATGCTGAGATGACCAACCATTCAGGACAGTCTCTAAATACTAACATTCTATTAGATCAAGAGAGTCAAAAATGTTATTCAAAAGAAGTACAATGCCCTCAGGAATCTTGCCTGGAAAGTTAAGAACGACAGTATTTATTTCCCCTTCCCTCCTCTACTTCCCCTTCATTCAGTACATGAGTCACTTTTTATTAACCGTAATTAATAATCCTAGTAAGTTATTTTTATGGCTAATTATTAGTAAGCTAAAGCTGCTCTTACTCAACAGAGTACTCTTCTGATGTACTGCAACCACGAAGAATATACCACAGCAGCTACATAAAAATCATTAGGTAAAATCATAACCCTGCAAAAGTTAGGATCCATTTACACATACACAGAAAGCAAGCATCTAGTAAAAAATAGCCGATTCCACTATTAAAAAAAAGAAAGAGAGAAAAAGAAAACCTTTCAGCCAATGCTAACTCCCCCTCACCACCCAACTAAGAAAACTCTCACACCAGCATTACACAAAATTAAGATGGGGATTCCAAAATATTTGGGCAAGTCATTCTTGTTTGATGAGATCAGTTCTCGTTAGGAAACAGCAACATCCTTCCCCTAAAGAGCATCTTACCTGTTTGCGCATGACATCTGTAGCTTGCATGATATAGCGAGGAGGTAGCCCATGGCTCCGAGCCAGAATGATCGCTTGCTCCAGGGTAACGCTCAGAGTGCAGCTGCAATGGAAAACTGAGCTCAGGCATCTGCTAGCAATGATTTCTTAAAATGAATGCTAAACACTAAAAACACCTTTAGACAAATTTTCTTTTTAAAAAAGTTACAAATAAAAAAAAATCACATAGTGAACCCGCCCTTCCTCCCTCCCCCCAAATCATGCAGGTATTAGCCCAGACACTGAATGCAGAAACGTCACTTAAAGGGAAAGCAAAGTAAATGTGCAACAGTAATACTGAAATAGAATTGGGAGGCAAGTAATACCACTAATCTAGGCATGCAAACTGTCAGTCAAGAAGTACGGTACATTTTCAGAGATGAACAAGAGCAAACAGAGACTAGTTTATAACTTCTACAAACAGTTATTAACATACTTGTCCCCAGTTATGTTTATGAAATGCTTTGACGTTAACCTGTATAACTCCACTGTTCTTTTTTTGACACAACTTGGAAGACTAGGTCTTCAATCTAAACTGGTAACTGAAAGGAGACATGTTCCAGAGGCTTCATCGAAATTTTAAATTCCTTGTTACAGTGTTGTCAAACTTTAGAAAATAAATTTTGTCATTATTGCAGGCTACCTAGAAAATATTCCTAAAAAACACTGAAGGATACCGTGCAGTATCATAATTTAAAATGAGCACTTGCTTATCAACTCAGACCAGCAGTCACAAAGGGGAAAAACTAGAATAAATGGGGAACTGAGACAAGGGAACAAGGGAACACCTTACTGGGAGCATAGGACATCTGTAATCTTTAGCTCCTGCTTAACGTTCATTTCAATAGATTTACACTACCTGGTATTTTTCTGGTCAAAGGCTCACGACAATGACAAAACAATCCCCCAACAACAATCCATGACAAGCGGAGACCTTTTATTACCTTATTGAGCAAGATCCCTCATTTATTATTTATTTTTTATGTAGCCACACAGTTGATAGGGCTGATTCTCTGCGCCTTGTTACTGTTAATCTCATTTTTGCTTTTCTACATCGGACGATACTGAGTGGGTCATCTTTAGTCACACAGCACAGCTCAGTGATGTAGCTCTTCCTTTAATTTCCTTTAAATAGCTAGTTGTGCTGGAAACTACCACCATTCTTTTCCCATTCCCGTCACTTGCATGATACCCAAGATATCTATTGCTATGTCAATAGCAATAGATTTGCACACAGGAGTTACTTGACTGCCAGCTGCTTCCTGAAGTCAGAAAACTGTAATTCTCATCACCAACCTTTTTATGGCATAGCAAATTCTTGATATCTTAAAAAAGCAATAAATATAAAAATAACTATAAAAGAACTGCTGGAAGAACAAAAGAGGAAAACTGAGTAATTACTGGCAGTCTGTTTTTCCCCCAACCATATATCACTAGGTAGAGCACTGTACTGCAATGTGAGAAATCTTTCACTCCAGATAGAAAACCAATGCTCTGACTTTTTTGGTGATAGAGATTTCATGACAATTTTCTTTTTATTGAAGTGTCAATGTGTAACAATGTAGTCCTGTAAGAGAGTATTGCTGTTCTCAATAACAGGCAGTAAGCTTTGCGCAGAATTTGCAAGGCCTCAGGACTGAGGTTTGTCAGGCTTGCTCTGTCTGCATTTTTCTTGACCTGCCTGCAGCTTTGTTTCACTTGGTTTGGCTGTGACAGATTTCTCTCATTGACCAGGTGTCTATGGCTAATTTGTTTTACTTTTGTTTATCTTTGTGTAGCACAACCCTAGTTTTAGGTAGACAGCAGCAACAAGCACTTATTCTATGTAGAATGGGATATTTCCCACTGCAGCACAATGACGTAGCGTAGAGAAGTACAGGCCTGGTGCAATAGCAGGGGCCTTGAGAAAGAGAGTTAGGTAGGACACAGAATAGAGGAGTACTGGCATGGGGTGGTGATAAGAGATGGGGCACAGGCTTGTCACTGGAGACCCCCATCGCTATAAACAACTCACGCATGGTCAGTTAAAGATATGCAGCTGGACAAAACTGGTTGTAGGAGTAACAAAGAGAACAAAGACGCAGTATCTAATATACATAAAAGGCACCAAATATAGTACATTCAGAAGTAACATGGAGCTGCTGACCAATAAAGAGGCAGCAAAAGTGTAAAAGCATGTTAGCAAACATAAAATGAGCCCAAGCGGATCCTAGAGTGAGGAAGAAGAAAGCACCAAGACAAAGATGAAGATAGTATTCCTCCTAGTGACAGACTCTAGACGGTGACAACTCGCTGTTAACACCTGTGCAACCAGAAAGAAACCCCGACATTAGGACGTAGAGGAGCAGTGGCAGAGTGAGCCTAACAGATGGAAAAAGGGGTAGAAACTAAGTGTGGCTATAACAGTTTTTAGTGCATTATTATTCTTTCTTTTTCTAGAATAATTAGATCTAGACTAATATCAATTCTTGAATTGGACTGTTAAGATTTCCATTACACTAAAAAATTCTTGGCTTTAAATAAGGTGTGCTTCCTCTCTTCCCATAAACAAGACCATACATATAACAAATGTTGCTGCTGAATTACAACCAATTTTTTTTTTCAAACACAACACTAACTGTGGCTTACTTTGCAAGTGCAAAGAGTCACAACCTAAAAAGAGGAATATTTTATAATTGTATAAATCCCTTTCCAGGTGGGTTCTGAACAAGTTTCCTCTCACCCTGAGTTGCTAACGGAGGGAGACCCTGGCTTTGGTACCAGGATTCTGATCTCCTGCAGTGAACTTACATTGGCACGTACATGGAATGCAGTCCAAACAGAGAGGCACTGTCCCTTTCAAACAAGAAAATAAATAAATGGGACATTCCTTCAAAAAAAAAGTTTTCTCCTACTTTGCCTATCTTTTTTGGCTAAACACGCAAGAAAAACTGACCGTGGTACTACATCCTAAAGTAAAGGCTATAATGGCTTTGCTAGAGCAACTGGGGAAGTTCCAGAGCTGAAGATCCTGCCCTAGAACAACCCATCATCACACCAGACAATAAGGACTAGGGAAAGTCATTTTGGAAATGCCAACTGACTTCAGTTGTCATGGTGAGGACAAGAATGGATAGACGGTTTCTCATACAGTCAAGACCAAAGCCATAGAAGGCTTTACAGATAAAAGGTAACAAAACTGAGTAGAAACGGAGTCAGGTACTTTTAAAGAAGCACAACGTGTCTGAGGGCTGCTATCATCCAATAGGTGAATGGCTGTACTCTGCATCAGTAAGGTACTTGATGATTTTTCTGTTCACAGCTAGACAAAGTGCTGCAAGAATCAAATCTCTTCAACCAAAACATGAGGTGTATATCAAATGATCCCACCTCAGCGGAACTTGACAAAAGCTGCATATTTCAAGTTAAAATCCTAAAATTAAGACACATGGTTGAAACAGACTTTTATGTCACCTTTTTGCAAAATACTGACCAAAGGATTCTGTATAGCTTATATTATAAATACCGAACAGACAATATGTTTCAATCAGACACTCATCTTGCTGAGCAGAAGATCTGTAGGAGGAAAAATGTGTCTGCACTTCACTTTTTTTCTTACTGAAAAAAACATGGCATGTTTAAATACCTCTAAGCAAATTTATGGACTGTAAAAAGTTTCACAATAATAAGTGTAGAAGACATTGAATTCAAACTGTATCTTTATTAATGGCCTATTGTTAAAAATATATAAGTTAAGTGATCTTTCTTGGCAATTAAATCAGTTTTATTCCCCAGTTTCTTGTATATACTGACCTCAGAGTTAACTTGGACCGAAAGTCTATTGATCTTTTGTGTTATATGCTTGATTAAAGTGGACAATAGTTAAATATTAGACTAGAACTTCTAAACACTGTGTTGTTATCTTGTCTTTGAAAGATGAAGTATTGCAGAAATAAAAAAGTATGTGCTCATAACATTTATCAGCACCAAAATCTAAACATCTAACCTTGAAGAAGAGACTGCAAAGGAAGCTTTGTTCCATTCACAACTGGAAAAAACAAAAGTATCCGAGATGTAATTTGACAAATGTAATATAAGCCAGACAAAAAGGGTAAAAACTCTCCCTGCAGACATGATGGAAGTTACTGGGCTCAAAGTCCAGCTTTCAACCAGTTACTGAAACAACTTGCTCATAAATCCTGTCTTCGTGGAACTTAGAAGAATGAAAGAACAGAAAGAACAGAAAAAACATTCTGCATAGTGAATCCAATCCAAATGAACAAAAGAACCTCCTTACTGAAAGTCAGGTTGAACAAATTTGATGCAAACAATAATCTGGTCATTGGAAAAGACTGCAGAACTGCTCCCTATCGAAAAAATTGATAATACGGCTGGTTATCCTGGACATTATGAGCCATCTACTTTTTGACAGTACAAACCATGATTCAGAAATAAGGTGGCTAAGTTAAAGGCATAACCAAAGTGGGAAAAACAGCAACAAAGTAAAATAGCATAATGAAGATTACTTTAACGGGCTTTTACAGAGATAGGCCACAACTAGAGTACAAACCTGAAACATGCAAACAAACTCAAACTGAAGAGCTGACTCAAGGCAAAAAAAAGACCAAAAAATAACGCTAAGGGTTATATTCTTGACACATCCAAGGGAATTAGTAGAGAAGATACTCAAGATGATGCCGATGATGTTAACTATTACAACACCTCTTTAAATGCAAGGTCATTTATATTCAAGGTTAAGTCCCAGTACTGTTAGTTAGATACATCCACTGTTACATTTAAAAACTTTCTTTTTTGTTGAAGTATCTTAAAAATGTTAAAATAGGATCATTGACATAATTGCTTTTAAATACAATATTTCATTAGAGATACAATTTAATACTGCTAGCTCCTGCATTTCCCTTGAGGCATGTAAAAGGTCTGATGAACAGCAGCCCTAAAACAGAATTAGAATAGAAATGATTGTCTATAGCTTTTGCCACATAATTCTGAAATAAGGTTACTACTTTCTAAATGCAATAAACAACACTGAAATGGCTTCACTTTTGTTGAATACCTAGTCAGTGA